CCTCAGCTTGAGGGGAGTGTTGAAGGAATGATCTTGATTTAAGAAATATTTGTGTATTATGTAGTTGACCTTCCTAATTTAGATTTATTGTTACCTAGTATCTAAGGATTTATTTAGATTTATTGTTTTTTATATCTATGAATTTGTAATAAGTAGTTGATTTGGTGGCTTTGTGCTGAAAAGCAAAGAGCATAACCGTTTTCCAAGCTCTTCACTTTGCTCTTTTCTTTTTCAGTTCAACTGTTTTCTTCTAATGCCAGTAGTGGACAAGTTGCCAGTTCTCCTTCGCGAGGACTTGGAGTCGGCTTTTGAAAGCGAGTTGGATACTGTTTTTGACATTACAAACTTGGTACACTCCTTGAGCCAACGAAAGCGTGATGCCGAAGTTGAACTAAGAAGGGTACTTCTTCTCTCTCTATTTCTCTGTTTTTCTTTCTCTCTCTACTAATAGTTTAAACTGTATCCGACATGAATTGTGTCTTCTCCCAGATTAAGAAACTTAAGGAGAAGTTTAGAGTGGTTCATCAGCAGCTCATATTGCAACAATCCAAGCCTGACATAAAAACTGGAGAATCTGATACAAAATAAAGTTAAATCATCGAAAAATGGCGCCACTTGGTATGTGATAATTTCTGTCGATTTTTAGCAACTGTCGCTGCTTCTGGTATGATCATTTCTGTCAGCTTTTAGCAATTGTTCAGAAGATTTGGGAGTAGCATGTGGGTCACTTTTGTTGTAGCTAAGCATATTTTATTATGATATAGATCGACAAGTATTCTGCAGGCACTCTCTGAATATTGTGAAATCTTTCCTGTTAATGTGTATGGATTGTTGGCCTAATTGTGAAGTTTTTATCATAAGATTATATGGAAAACAAGCTAGGAGAAGGCTTCAAACTCCAATGGGAGGTAAAGTTAACACTTTCCATATTTATTTTTATTAAAAAATGTGGTTATTATGAGCTTTCTTGTGGCTTTTTCTTGGTATTGGTTTCTTTTAGTCATTTAAAAATAGATATACGTTTTAGTTGGGATTTGAGCATTTTATTGGTAAGTTTGTTCATTTGTTTTAGCTACTTGATTTTGTGGCAAGGTTCAATGTGTATTCGTGATTGCTTTAGGACGGTTTTTTGTGGCATGATTATAAGAATTTTGTTGAGTTCTTTTGTAATTTATTACTGGGTTCAGGTAAAATACATTTTTGGTCTTGGAATTTGGTGATGATGGGTTGTGGGTATTTGTTGCGAATGGTTATCTTATTCAAGGCATGGTAATCGATGCACAAGCGAAGGCTACCATCCTTCTTCTTTTGGAACAATACTAGGGCTTAGTAGGGTGCTTTTACAGATCTTATGAATCCTGCGCTTAGTAGTTTGTCTGAGTTTTTTTTGCAATTTCGCAATTTTGGGAGGTGTCAATCGGTACGCATTCTTGGCTAGCAGCTTGACCCTCGGTAGCAACTCGATCTCATGATTTATACCTCTACGCAGAGGTAGTGTCGTCGGTAAGCTCTCCGGCATGATGCCGCGATACCTTTCTAATACCTCTTGTATCTCCCTGGGTATTGGTTTCGACGAATTCTCCCCCTCGATTACGAGGATGGGTATGAAGCTTGACTTGTTGTGAGTTAGACACCGTTTGAGTTGGAGTGTTGATATCATCTTTACCCCTTCAAGTTGCTTGATTTTTGTTTGGACAACTATGGGATTGGTCCCCGTGATGACTAAGCATTTGGCCAAGGGCATAGGTATGATCTTATGTTCGACTAAGAATTTCATTCTAGGTACCACGTCAAAATCGTTCATCTTGATGATCACAAAGTCGATCTAACGACTTCATGTCCCCTATTTAATGACGGCCTTCTTAGCTACACTTTAGATAGGTAAGGCTGCTGAATTGACAGTTGAAAGACTGGCTCTGTGGTTAGCCCATGCCTCTACATATATAAGCCCTCTACCGAACTTGATGGCCCGCATACGGGGGTTGTCACTACTCTCGGATGGGGTAGTCCCTATCTCGATGGTACCGGAATAAGGTTCAGATTCTGTCCCCAAGGTCGCCTTGAATGCTTGAAGGGCTACTTTACTATGGCAATTGTACGCTCTATGGGCTCCCTTACATATGAAACGGGTTTGGGGGAGGCCGATTGTACTAGTTTTGATAGGGCCCTCTCCATGAGTTCTCATATCTTTGTTGGGAGGTTCTATGGTCTCCACTTCTCGTCCTGTTCTCTCTTCTCCTCCACTTTTAGGAGAATTGGATTGGTAGTTATTCGAGGATGATTGATTTAGCCTTACCTCCTGATACTGTTCAGTGCTTAGGTCTAATAGTCGTTTTGTCTGGTAGTTCTTCGAGGATGATTGATTTAGCCTTACCTCCTGATACTGTTCAGTGCTTAGGCCTAATAGTCGTTTTGTCGGGTAGTTCTTCGAGGATGATTGATTTAGCCTTACCTCCTGATACTGTTCAGTGCTTAGGCCTAATAGTCGTTTTGCCGTGGCATAAACTATGGAAAGTTCTTGAATTAGCTGCTCGGTATAGCTTGGATTTTGCCCAGGGCTTCAATCTCTCAACAAAGTAGAAGACTTTATCTTTTTTGGACATGTCGCAAATATCCAACAACAATACTGAAAATTGTTTGACGTATTCTCGAATATTTCCTATTTTCTTTAGTTCTCTTAGTTTTTTCCTAGCAAGGATCTCGACATTCTTCGAAAAGAATTGGGAACATAGTTCTTGTTTCAACATTTCCCATATGCCTATGGTGCACTGACCGTCTATGATGTCTTTGTATTTCGACCTCCACCACAACTTTGCATTGTGGCTAGCATGACTTTGGCTTCCTCTAACACCGTGTTTGTTGCTCGAAAGTATTGTTTGAGGCCGAAGATAAATTTTTTTAAGGGTTTGGGTTCCGACACCTTTCCCTTGTTAGACTGCATTGACCCTCTTGTATGGGCGTGGTTCCCCACAGCGCTTGTAGTTAGGTTCAATCTAGTACTCAAATTGGCTATTTCGGCCTAACCATGACAAGTGTTGTCTTGATGTCTTCGAAAAGTTCAATGACCATATGGATGATTCCTTTCTGGGAGTTGTCTATGCCTTCGACACGCTCCTTTATCTGGGCTACAAAGCTTGTCGAGCTATCTCCTCACTCGAGGCCAATAGTCTTTGTGGCTTTTTCTTCAAGGTTTTCCACCCTATATATCAATTGTTGAATGGGCATCCCATCCACACAACCCACAATTACATGGATCGTGTCAGTCCTGACGGCTAGTTCCTTTGACATGTTCGTCCAAGTATCGTGTATTGTCAGGGACTTTTCGTAGGTATTGCATTTTCTCTTCAATGTCGACCAGTTGGTCAACATTGACTTGCTTAATTGCTTGGTCATGGACATGATCGCAGAAAATGTCACTGGGAGCCAATTAGGCTCTATACTAACTGTCACGATCGCACCCTCTCGGGGATAGAGAGATTTTCAAAAAAGCATTTGAAAGCAAGATTGAAAGAAATGAACAATCTTATAGATTTTAAGCGAAAAATGCAATACAACTGCTTAGATAGTATATAACTCCAGATAGAAAGAATTGATTTATGTTATAATAATGAAAACCATGTGTTGATCTCATTTGTTTTATTTGCGTAATAACAATGTTTTTTATACTTAGGATTTTTTTATTATTATTATTCATGGTTAATTGAATTATTTTTTTTATTAATAGAAAAAAAAATGATCACTATTTTTTTGGTCATATTTTTCTTAGATTTAAAAATTATTTTAGACATAGAAATATTTTATATTTTGTAGTAAAATGATTTTGTCTACAAATAATAATTTATAATAACACAATTGTTCAACTCCAATTTCGAATAACATGATTGAATCAATGCGGTTAATAATTTATATTAAAAAATAAAATGCATGCATTAAAAAATTCCTTTAAAATTACTTTTTTAAAAGAATAATAAATGGAAATTTTTTTTTGGCAAAGAACCTAATCTCCACCAATTCTTTATGGCAAATCTGAAAAAAAAAAAAAAAATATGTAGAATGAAATAGGTAGCGGGAATGTGGACATAAAAGGCTTCTTTATAAAACCTTATTTTTTAGAATTTGCGAGTGCATATGAATAAAAATGATACTCAAAAGATCTGTTATTTCTCCACGTGACACCTCCAATGCGACAATAAAGAGAGGAATTATATAGATTTGATTAATATTATTGTATGTATGTGAAGCAGTTTTTGGTGGGTGGAGTAATAGTCGAAACCAACTAACAATAAAATGTCTATTTTGAAATCTCCGTACTATAAAAATACCCCAAACTCTTAAATAAATGGACACCACACCCAACAAATACCAAACTTCCAATTAGGCAACTAAATTATCAAAACTATATTTTGTATTATATCATTTATTAACTTGCCAAATTTTAAGAATTATAAATTTTAAAAATAAAAAATAAAAACTCTAATTAATAACCTTTTAGGTTTTTTTAAGAGAAGATTTACCTCTTTAACCAATATTCAATTTAAAAAGAAAAATAGACATTTTTTAATTCTTCCTAAAACTAAATGAAAATAAAATCTAAAATTATACGAAATGAAAATAAAGGTTCAATAAGACAGATACGACCATCTATGAGCCAAGAGAGTGGAAAATATTTTTCTTAGGTTGAGACGGTAAGTTAAAGAATTTTTATTTAAATGGAAAATAGACGAGAGTGGAAAAGATTTTTCCTCCCTATCTAAATGGGAGTCGGAGCCGCCGTAGAAACCCACCTAGAATCGAAGGGGAAACCCACTTCCTTATTTACAAATTTATATTTCATGTGAATGAAGATTGAAATAAGAAGCAAGAATAGGGACGAAAAAAGCTTCTTAATCCCTATCCTGCCAGGTGGACATCGCTACTGCCTCAACAATATTGTTCATAGTCCCGGTCCTGCTCGATAGACATCTTTATGCACAGCCTCAACAAAATTGAAACTATAGTTCTTTTTGGCAAAGTTGAATCCTCTTCCACAAGCATTGTTGTACATTATAGTAAATAGATAATCAGAGTAATAAGTGATGAACACCCTCTCATCATACAAACTCAACTGAAACTTGTCATCATTGACAAGATAAGATCTCTACTACACCTATTTTTTATGGACTAAATCAGACAATTAAACACATAAAAACGTCACTTGGTGGTATCATCGCCTCTACCAATCATATCATGACCGTCCAGAAAGCGATCTCTACTACTTTTACCTATGCGTCACTTTGCTGCTGAGTTTGTTGTTGCTGCTGCTGCTGCTGAGCTTGAGTATGCGGCCATGGCATGAAAGGTATCGGAGGTCGGGGCTGTTGAGCAGTGGCACCGTACATGTTCGCTTGATCTAATTGCTTCCCCATGATCATCCCTGTAGCACTCACTGGATGTTGTGATGGAACATAGTAATAAGGAAGATCGGCCGGGGAACCAACTACAGGAATAGAAGCCTTTGTGATTCCGAGACCTTCCTCTTTCAGTTCATCTCTAGGAATAATATCAACCAAGAAATCGAAGACATCGGTCCTCGAAATTGCAGCTGCAATATCGTTCTTCTGTAAAGTTCTCCTTTTGTTCTCTTCTGTATGAATCCAGGATCGCAGAGTCAACTCCAAGATGAACATTTCACACGCCTTTGCAAATATAACTGGTGCTTCAGCTGAAATCATTCGGACGTCTTCATCCGCTTTCATTATTTTCTTGATTCGAGCAAGGGGGAGACTGTGGTTCTTAAAGTCAGTTGTTTGTTCAATCTCTTGCATTTGGTTTGCCCAAAACATTTGGAGCTGTTGTTGCTGTTGTTGCTGCTGCTGCTGGTGGAAGTGCTGAGCCTGCTGAAAGGCAAGCTGGTGTGGAGAGTTGGAGAAACTGGATGGTTGCTGAGTCGGGGGAATCGTAATAGCAGGCGTTCCAGACGCCCCCATTGGAGCTGTTTGGTAAGGATTAGAATATGGTAATTGTCCTGCACCAACACCGCCTGCAGCCTGCTGGGATTGTTGCTGATGCTGAGAACGCTCTGATTGATCCATGGCTCACAATACGTAGTATATTTTGCACACTGCTGATCAGAACAGAAAATACTTTCAACAATAAGAACACTAGCACAATTGCAAAGAACATGTCCAGGCGTTCTAAATCAACAATCAGCATCTCAAGGGGGAAATTATTCATGTTCTTAACAAAAGAGTTCGTTTTCTTTCTTCCTATTTTCCCATTTTTCAAATAAATTTATTTTAAACTAAAAATCTTAGAGAACAAGAAACAAAAAAAAAAACAGTACATTTTTGTTTCCACTCAATGAAAAGCAAGTCAAAACCCATTTGAGTTCTTCTTTCCCAAGAAAAAAGAGGGAAGAAAAAGAGAAACAAAAAAGAAGAAAAGAGAATATTGATAAAAAGCCCAATCAAAAGTAACCAGTTCAACATTTTTCCCATCCTTAAAAGACCTTCATAGCTTTGATCAAGTTGGAGAACAAGGGGGATTCTACCTACACCCAAAGACTTGGATTACACTAAAAGCAGCATCAATGTATTAAGTAATAAGAAAAAGAAGAACCCAATCTTCAAACAGAGTTCAGTAAAGCAATTAAAGAGAAAGTACAGCCCAGACTCTCTCATATCCACTCATTAAAAAGAACTGGCTCAAGCCAACAAAAAAAAAAAAAGGATAATAATTAGGAGTGAAATGGATAGTAATTATTATGAGAAAAAGGAGCCTTAAAAAAGTGGCATCTAATCACAAAACAAGATAATAGAAATCATAAGTTCTCCAATCTGTTCAAACTTCAAACTCAATCAATTCCTATGAACTCTTGATCTTCCTGGATCTCCAACAGAACTCCTAATCGAATACAGGAATTCATTTACAGAGTTTCGATCAAACAAATCATGGATTTGGATATCAGTTTCAAACCAGTCAGATGGTGGTAAAAAGCAGAAAATCAAGACAATCCAAATAGCTTCCAAAAACGTTTTATCTTATAATCCACACTATCTTCTCAAACAAGAACCAAGCTAAAGAGTCACATATGAACAATAGACATGTAATGAAAAGCCTCATGCAATTTTCAATTACTGTCATCTCATGCAGCAGAGAGAAAGAAAACCGCAGAAAATCAAAACCAAAACAGTTGAAAACAATCCATAGCCATCATCGAAAACACGAATTAAAGAACAAAAGAAGAAGATGACCTCTGACTTTCAAACAAGTACTCCGGCAAAGCTCATCAGTAGCAGAGCAGAAACCCTAAGAGAAAAAACAGAGAAAACAATGGAGAGAGAGAGAGAGAGAGAGATTGAGAAGGCTTCAACGAAGGTCTTGAAGGAGAGAGAGAGAGAGAGAGAGAGAGAGAGAGAGAGTATAAAGGAGAAACGTGTCGAGGAGTGAGAGCGATGGCGGAGGACAAGTGGCGGAGAGAGAGTGGCGGAGAGAAGGAGAATGGTGGAAGGGGACGCTCGCAGTTCTCCAATTTGCAGTTCCAATGTTGTGTTCTGAATGGGCCTTTTAACTTTTAAATTTGTTTGGTCCAAATGGAAGAAATGGGCCTTTGCGTGCCTCATACGTCAAACCTCTCTCTCTCTCTCTCTCTCTCTCTCTCTCTCTCTCTCTCTCTCTCTCTCTCTCTCTCTCTCTCTCTCTCTCTCGGGTCGGAGTCGATCGTCTACTAGTGGAAGGCTTTGTCGGTTAGTTTTCATTTTGAATTTTAGACTGAATCTAGCTCGAATCGTTGTGCTCGGTTTGTTCAAATAAGAAAACGAAGGTTCATGTTCAAACCCACTTGACGGATTCACTTTATAGGAACGAATAATCCAGCAATGCGGTCACGGTAATAAAAGATCATGTAACGGCCTAGATCCACCTCTAGCAGATATCGTTCCTTTCTCCAATCGATGTGGGACCCCCTCCAAATCCACCCTATTTGGCACAAACAATTCACCTATATTGTTCTCTTTGAGCTTTCTCTTTCCAGCTTCCCTCAAGACTTTAAAACGCGTCTACTAGGGGAAGATTTCCACACTCTTATAAATGGTGTTTTGTTCTCCCCCAACCAATGTGGGACATCACAGATCATGTCCCTCAAGGTCGAATTGGTAAGTTGGAACATTTTCAAACACGAACCAGCAAGGATTAGACTCTTTTCATGTTATGTGGAAAATGAATGCATGAATGAACCACGTGCACGAAAGTGATGTAGATCATGAAGAAATCAGAACAACTTGAAACAAAAATGTTAAGTTTTAGGTCTCACCATAGTTGTGTTAGTCTAAATCATGATGACATGTGCATGTATCTTCTAACCCGACATTAGAGTCATTTACTATCGGCCATTTGAAAAAAAAAATAAAGTAAAGATAGGAACATTATAGACGATTGACCGTGTTTTATACAAATATTTGTGTTTTTGTTTGAAATAAGGAAGAGTTTTACGTTGTCACAGTTTCATGCATGCAAATAGATAATTGTCTTAAGTTGCCATATATGAACATAGTCCCATAATATTTAAAACTAACATTTCTTCCTCTTATGAAATCAGACTTTCTCGAATTTGTTCAAATTGAGAACGAATTGGTCTTACTAACGACTGAATCTTAGTACTACCATTGAGGATTAAGGTGCAATGATCAAACGACGAGGAAAACGATGAAAAAGAACAGTGACGCTCAAATGATAGCACAGTGATCAACCATACAAAAGAGATGAGTTGAGACCATGAAAGGTCGACACGACAGAGCTACTTCATTAAGCCAAGCACGAGCATTGGACACCAACCTTTTTTCTGTGACGAAATAGCTAGAGCAAGAACAACATCGATAACACAATCAACCACCAAAACTCGACTTTTTCTAAAGCATGATCTCAATTACACAAGACCGAAATAAATGTCCGAAGAAAAATAATTAACGAAATGCTTTCATATTAGATAAGAGATAAGTATGATTGTCAAATCACATCTAATGAATCTTAGACCTAATATTACCTGCGTTTATTTGACGAATATAGTATTATCACGTTCTTCGTTGATTTAATTGTTATATTAGAAAGTTTTGATAAGTTATTTTCGTTAAATTTTGATAATTTTAATTATTTTGTGTTAATACTGTGATGTCCCACATTAGTTGGGAGGAAAACAAACCACCATTTATAAGAGTGCGGAAACCTTCCCTTAGTAGACGTTTTTTAAAGCGTTGAGGGGAAGTCTGAAAAGGGAAAGCCCAAAGATGACCACTATCTACTAGTGATGGATCATGGTCGTTACAAATGGTATCAGAGCCAGACACCGGACGATGTGTCAGCCTTCTCGCTGTTCCCCGAAGGGGATAGACACGAGGCGGTGTGCCAGTAAGGACAAGTAGTTGTAAAACTCAAAAGAGTTATTCAAAATATTTAAATATAATTTTGTTGTAAAAAATAAAAAATAATAGTTCGAAATCATTTCCTTGTAGATATGATTTCCGTACCAGTAGTTGCTTCAATTAAAGAGTCATAAATGCTTCACATATAGGTAGCACGAGGATGCTTATACCCGAACACCCGAACAATGGGCTTTATGTGGAGCATAATAAAGGAATAGATGTAGTTATAAATAAGTTTCTACGGTAGTTAACGCCTTGAACTTAAAACACAGCCATGAACTTACGTGTTTCGAAAACATCTTTAAAACGACACAACAAAAGACCCAAAATAAAATAAATAAGCGTTTAAGTTTAAAACATCTTATTCTAGCCTAAGTCTAAGAAAATAAATACTACTATCCTATGCATGTGCCATGATCTCGAGTTGCGATGCCATCGTCAGCCGGACAGGAATGGTTTGCCTTAACCTAAAAAATGTAGTAGCACAAAGCATGAGTATTTAAAGAAATACTCAGTAAGTGACTCTACTATTTGGGTTAAATGCAACAATCACATGCAATGAAATGATGGGACCTATCTTTCGTTTCGTTTCGTTTTTCCTACGATGTTGTCCTAACGGGTAATCGTGGACATGTACCATATACTCTACACACAGCCCATACGTGCGAGTATGGGCTCACCAGCTAGTTCGCACACCGCTAGGCCACTATCCTTATCCGATGGGCATACTCTGGGAGCCTCTTATGCTGGGACCCGTGAAAACTAGTAACCGTCACGACAACGCTAAGCAACGCATAACGATCGTTGTCCTGCCATTTGATGTATGCGTCTGTACCCTCGTGATGGGATAGGGATATCCCCAGATGCATGGACACACATAATGCATGAGGTTCCCACTACTTCTACATTTATCATTAATGAACATAACCCCCCTATCACGTTCCATGATTCATGTCCTTCTCATTTTCAATTTACATTTCATACATATTTCTGTCGGGGTTATGATTCCAGACAATTTACCGTATTTCATGTCATACAATTCATGTTGTTTACATTCAAACATTCCATACAATCATGACATAACCATTCAAGAACAACATATCGTTACATACATTACACATCACATCAGACTAAACAACATACATAGCATATATTCACGTTCACATGACTACGTACTTAAGCACAATAATCTAGCATACAATGTATCACATCATAAACAAGTCATAACGTAAACACTTCATAGTCATATCGTTCTCTAACTTACCATAGCCTTAACATTCTTATACCTATCACAGACATATCATTACATAACGTACCTTAGTCTTATCATCACAAGAACATATCCTAATGCTATCGTTCTATCAATCTATCACAAACCTATCCCTTTTTACCCATAACCTAACCGTATTCTTTCATCAATCTCTCCTATACATAGCACTCCGGTATGTAACCTAACCTTAACGTTTCATGAACGCATCTTACTCCTATCGTTACATTTCGTTTTGTGCATCCTTCTCGTATCCTATCTCAAACATATCCTTAAGTACATCGTACCATAATTATAATCATACAATCCACATATTATAACATAACATAACATATAGAAAGCATATCGATTCACAGACAATTCACACATATCAATATATATGACACGTGCAGAACCACATGGCACGTGTCAACATCAAATATAACTATGCCGATAGTAAGGTCATTTACCTGGCTCGCTTAAGTCATTGTCACAAATATATCTTTAATGAAAGTTCGATTCCGTCCTTTAAAATTTGAGTCAACCTATATGAGCTCATGACATTGGTTTCAAGTTTTAACTCTATAAAATTATTTCCCTAATTTACATTGGCCATAGTATGATATTTTCAATTAGACAAAATTTAAATGAGCTCACTAACCTCTGATATTTCATGTTTAATTGTTGAATCATGTTCAACAAATCTTTCCTCAATCTCCTTCTCTCTCTAATTATTTTCATTCGGTAAGTAGGTTTTAGATTGTTTGGGTATGATTGTTTGGCTACCATCTTTTAGTTTATAGTTCTGCCAACTAAAATTTTATTGAATCTAACTTTATATCGTATAACTTAGAATGCTAACAAAAATCTAATCAATTGTATATGGGATCTGATTATTACCGTTAATATATGAGAAAATATTTGATCCTAAATTAATTTCTTATAACTATAACTATATAAAGGAAAAGGAAATTTGAGATAGAATTTTACGTCTGACAAAAATTTTAAATCTGTCATTTACGTCTGACTATGTTTTGTTTTTTTAGTTTGCGTAGGGAGGAGAGATAATTGTGGAAGGGATATGATACAACATCGACATTGCAATTAATGATGTCAACAACCAAATAAAATGAAAGTGAAATAATAGAAATGTTTAATATTTTAGTGACTAGAAGATGCCAATCAAAATAATATATTAAAATTGAGTGGTAAATCTTAATTCAATATTTTGAAAATAAATAATATTTACCTTTTACATATTATTATTTTTTATTATAAATAAAAATTTAAATAAATGACTAAAACAACCGGAACAAACTCGACACAAATAGGTTGAGTTAGATTGTATTCATTATAAATCAAATAATTGGGTTACATCTAAAAAAACCGTCTCAACCCGACCCGACTCGACCGAACCTAATCCATGAACATCCCTATGAAATACTGAAAGAAACCGATCTAAAATGTATTTTATTCACAGTCCATTAAAGAAAAAAAAAATCGAATAATTTTTTCAAAAACATTACAATATATGAAATTAGGATAAAAAGATGCATAACCCAATATCATCATACTTACGTGCATCATTAACCAATGAGATTGGAGAGCGGGAACTAATAGTGGGGATTGATGCATTTCAGTTAAAAAAGTAGCAAAACCTTGGGTAAAAATCGTACTTGGTGCAGTTATTGGGCTTACACTTAAATGGTTTTTATATTTTTTTAAATACGTAAATAGATGAAT